ATATCTGGGAGAAAACAACAAAGAATGAATGGACTATTCCAAGCAATTGGAAATCCTTTAAAGAGATAGTCGAATGGAAATTCAGAGATCGCAAAGACAAACACAATGGACCATCCATGGAAGCGGCAGTGGCACACTTCAAGAAAGATGGTGAAAATGATGGGTATACCGATTGGAACGACTACTATCCGATATTCATTATTCGTGCGTTCCAGAAGCATATTGATTCGCAGAAAAAAACAGACTCGAGATATATGCTAAGCCGATCCCTGAGGGAGGTGACCCCAGTTCTTTTGACTGGAACAGCGTCATCGCTATTCGGTGCGTTGGTGGTCACAGTTGTGTCAATCCATCTTCCAAGCCATGGAATATGGGATGGGAGAGCCTACAGTGGACAGATGTTAAATATCTCCATCACGGCACAGCATCCCGCGCCTGGAAGAACATATTGAAGACAGGGATCATTCCTGGATACGTTGATCCAATTTCTCAGAGAGACAACTATCATAAACCATCGCAACGATCTGAGGCATTCTTTAGTTCTAGCACATATTTGAACAATGTTCAAAAGAATCCACACACTTCAGTGGAATCATACAAGTTCAATAACTACAAGAACGAGGTCGAGCTGGTGATCAACATGGCAATCGCCACAAAAGCAGGTTGCAGATTTTGGTTGGGTGCTCAGGGCGCTATCATGACAGAGGACGTGGTACCCGCTGCGGCAATTATTGCAATTCGCCGCCTCAAACCACACCACATGCATGGCCAGCAGTTGTGGCCAGACGGCGACCCATGGGACTACCCGCCATTGGCAGCAAGAGAGCCATTGAGCAAGTACGAGATTTGCGCCTGCCTTCCTGGAGAGCTCATCGACGACCCTCCTGGATTAGCACCTATCGACCCCGACCAGACCATGGAGCCTCCAAGGACGACGTCAGCGTCAGCACCTTCGGTCAAGCTGGGGGAAACCCCTGCTGGCCGTACATCTGCAGAAGACGCCCTGGATGAGCAAATAGTCCGCGCTATGATTCGGGAGACCAATCACAAAGCAGATGATAAATAATGGTTAATTGCATTGTCATACTGTCGCGAAGCTCTTCGACCAATCACATCGAAGATCATGCAAAAAGATTGGGACCGTCGCCCTGCATTTAATGACGTTCGAATGGGAGACTTCACTGTCGTCAAGAATTGGGGTTCTACCAAATGCTTTCATTACGACAACCACTGGCCCAAAGGCAATCACAATACCAAGATTGCCTTGTCCAAGGGACACATATATGGTCCAATCATCCATTTCGGCATCTTCGACAAGTTCTTTGCGGTACAAGTACCTATTCTCAACTACGGTTTACGATGGGTAAACATATGGTATAATGACAAAAGCATGCCCCTCAAGGGCGTTGTCTTTGCATTACCGATTCGTATCGAAGAACACGCCATTGACCCAACGTGGATGGAGACCGTCCTGAAAGGTCCGACATCATGCAGCGAAAAGATACTCCAGCACAAGACTGACGGCAGTTTACCATACCTTGGCATGCCGAGCATTCTTAGACCACGTATTCCGCGTACACCGCCAAGAAGGCCCTCTCCTCGGACACCCGATCCAGACGAGCTGGTGGCCACACCTGCCGAGGACATCGCTCGTGCGGGCGACAATCCTCGACAGACTGCAGCATCATCACGTGATCCATCGATCACCGTAATCGTGGACATATCGAGCATACCGCTCACTGCTGAAGAGAAAGCTGCGAACGACAACATGGGAGCAGACCTATCGGCAGACATCCAAGCAGATGAGCAGATTGAGGCAAGTATCATCGACAACATCATTGATCCGCCATCGGACTTCCTTAACCATCCAGATTACGACCCCGACGAGGATTCAAGATGGATTAAACAGTCTGATGACTGCTGTGTGTATTGTTGGACATCGGAGCTGCTGGTGGATTCGCCTATGATCAAGATGAAACAGATCATCGAGATACACAGTGGCGCAGACAGAATCGTAATGGACAAAACTCAGTCGCATTTACAATTTGAAATCCGATTTGGATCGAAAGCATGGAATGCGGAGTCATACCAATTGAACTACAATCATACCCACAAATGGGCACGTGACTTACCTAATTGCAGTGCAGATCATTTCTTCAAAAAGTTGGTACACTACCTCGACCCAGAGACTATCGAGGAGTCGATCACAGGCATCTTTCAATGGATTTCCAAAGTATACCAGAACATATTGAAAGATAGTATTGCGGAGCTTCCAGATTTCGCCAAAGAGGCCACCCATGAGAACCATCCTGCACTTCAGGCATTGCGTGACCTATTCAAAAATTGTACTGGGACATACGGTAATCCAGATTTTCCTGTATGGGAAGAGCTGGTGGAAACACCTGCTGCGCCTCGTGAGCAAGGCACTGAGCAGGATATTCCACAGGATCCAGGCAGCGTTGCGTCTGCAGCTCCCGATCAGGAAACTATGGTACGTATCATAGCCGAGCAGACGGGACTCAAGCGCGAGGAGGGCGACAACGAGGCTACCTTGCAAGAGAAAGCTCGCCGCCTTCGTGAGGAGAACGTATGCCATGGCGGTACTGAGGATACCGACAACACCAAGATAGAGTACAAAGGACTGCCAGGGGAAAGGTTGTCTAGGATCGAGATCGAGGGTTTAAGTAGATCGATCGCTTCCAGACCGAACACCGAGATCAATCGTGAGGCCATCAATCAGATCGGTCAGAGCCTCGCTCGCGGTCAGGACACCCGCTGGGGATCCCGCGATCACCTCACTTCGGAAGGGGCCCCCGAGACGATCTTGCATCCCATACCGCTCTGTCAGAATTGCGGTCGAGATCTGTCCCATCGGGATTGCCACAGGTGACGGCACACTTTGTGATATCTGTTGGCAGTATACCGTGGCCGTAGGCGCCACGGGTAAGAGCACCGCCACACAGAGCGATCTCGCGTACCTCCAGAAGCTGACGAACTGGATCAAGACGACACTCTCGGAGGACCACACCGCGAGATACATGAAGGACGGTGCGCACGTCATTATGACGGGCGCGCGATCGCACGCAGGCAACGAGAAAGATCAGTTGCGGAGATTGGCCAATGCGTCCAAAAAGAGGCATCAGAAGTGGGTCGAAGCAGGTAGCCCTCCTGCACACGAGTGCAGACTGATGGGCGAATCCGAGGACGACCGACCTCTGTACTACCCATTCGCCAATCTCGTACAACGCTTTCTCAACGACCTCAAGTTCCGCCACCAAATGACAGGTGCCCGCGTGAACGTCGGCAATAAGCCCTGGACCGTGGAGGACATGCGCGATGCGTGGGACATCCTCGACGTCAGCATTAGGACAGGACAGGCTGGTCGGAGGAAATGGTGGCTGAACGAGGGGCGCCTCGACAGGCAGACGCGGCAGGCTCGCGGACTGGTCACGGTTTCTCTCCCTAGAAGGGGCGGAACCCGTGAACAGTTCACTCAGCGTAAGCTTGCCGCGATTGCCAATGAGTTGTTAGGCTCCCTCGATCCAGCACATGCCGACCAGAGGGGGGTTGATACAGGGATGAGAACCGATCCCGATACACAATCCCACCAGTCCGATGATGCCATGGAGCCGCCGCGCCATCCGCGGCCGCCGCCGCGCCCTGCTCCTGGCGATGCTGCCGCGTCCAGCGCCTCAGGCGCGACGGACTACACGCCCGCGGGGCCGCGTGCCAAGAGAGCGCGTACATCAGATTACGCCGCGTACTGGCGTGATGACCTTGAGGACAGCTACTGGGGCCTCAGGTACTGGAGTTACTACATCAACTGTTGGATCTACATCGCGATCAACAACGATGAGTACGTATACATCCAGGACATCACGCACAATGATTGGTTTCGCAACTGGATCCCAAGAACGGCTTGGGAGACATTCGCGACGAGCTACGCGACGTACAACGGCCAGAGGATGTGGGACCGCAGGTTCTACAAGAACGGCAACGCGTAGTGAGTCGGCCGCAAGGCCCACCGCTCAAGGCACGAACTTCAATATAACCAATGTTCGTCTTGAGCGGTGGCTATTTCATATCTTAGGCCACTTCATTATATAACAAAAGTGGCCACACACACACAACTACCTTTTGCGATCGCCGAGGCAGCCTCCTAAGGGGCAGCGCCAACGGGAGTCGCCACACAGAGTTTTTACACATGATTTTCGTGTTCATCAACACGACATTTTGTCTGGCCAGACATTCGCTTTCACACAGTGATGTGTTTCATTTCAAGATCGTGTTCGTCAACACGATCTTAGCATGCATATGTTAGCAAGTTTAAACCTGAGTGCGTCGAGAATAATCTGCAAGCTGGTGGCAACACCTGCCTCGCAGAAGCGAGGCAGTTTGCATGTTGCTTTAACGCTCAGATCTTCTTTCTCCGCCCACCCTTGTCTCATTCTTCTCCGCCCTCGAGTGCCGAAGCGTTTTGGGGGGCGCACCGAGGGGGCACCAAAGCGTGCTTGGAGAAGAAAGGGGGACTTAGGGTGCTCCTTCTAACTTCACTTTGCAGCTGCGGCTTCGCTGATTTTAAGCCCAGCTGCCTTCTGACTTAAGGACTAAAGGAGTTCAGAGGTTTCGGATTCCTTCCTCTGTTCCCGAGTCCCGCCTTAACGGGCGGGATTCGGGGCGGGGGGTGTGAATGGAACCCGTGTAATGCCCTCATATTTACTCCTTATCCTTACCTCTCCTGCGTCTGGCCGTTTGGGCTCAGGTACTGAGATAGATCGATCAGACCTTGATCGTGCGGGAGGGAAAGATATCCATCTATCCCTCCTTCTCTCTACCAACGGATCAGGGGTTCTGTGCCCTTGTACTTCAACCCCGTACACAACCCCTTCCCCCCCCCGTTCTTGCCCCCAAGTAAGCGTTGCATCGCAGGTTTTGCCAGAACCCGCAGTGACCAGCAATCTCGGCTCAGGTTGGAGCTCGAACGCGACGAGAGAGACGCCATGGCGGGCATCGCCGGAGACGCGCCTACGAAAGAGGGCCCCGCCGCTGAAGGCGCGAAGGAGGTGCCAGCCGTCGCGTCGGTGCCCACACCCCTCCGTGCCGAGGCCGTGCCGCAGCCCGCCAACGTCATCGCTGCAGCCAGAAGCCGCCTCTGCGCTGCGGTGACCGGAAACGTCGCCTCTTTTGAGCTGTCGTTGGAGGAGTTCAGCGCGCTCATCGGCGACGGCGGGAAGGAGCTTTCCGACGCCCTCTCCTCTGGAGGGCCGCGGACCGGGGTGCTCGAGGGTGCAGCCGTGGAGCGGCACCTCGGCGACAGTCCCGCTGCCGCGGCCATCGGCCGTATCACGCTGGAGCACAACGGCGCCGGCAGGGCGAAGCTGACGTCGGAGCTCGCCAAGGGGCAGAGCAGCCTCCTCGGCAGCCTCGCGGCCGTTTCGAAGCGCGGCGCCGAGGAACTCACGGCGAAGGAGGCCGCTGCGGCCGCGGCGAAGGCCAGCCAGCAGAGCCCCTTCGTCATCGAGTCGGACGAGGAGGAGGAGGCTGCGGCGAAGAGGCCGAGGGCGGCCTGAGGCAGGGCGCGCGCCTTCTGCGGCGCGGCGGGCACTGGCCCGTGGCCAGGCACTGCAGATCATGGCCGTGCTTTTGTTTGAGGGCGGGGCGGCCGGGGCGGAGGCTCATCGGGGAGTGGTGGGCGTGAAGGCCTCCACGGGGTGGCTCCCCTCACGCGCCGTTTGCGAGCGGAGCCGGGGTGACGTGCTGCCTGCGGAGGGGGCCCGCTGGCAGATCCCAAAAGGCGCAGGACTGAACGAAGAGGGAGATTCAGTTCGGCTCGGTTCGGTCGTCCTCGAAGGATCGAGTCAGGCGAGTGCCGGCTGCGACAGTCGGGAAGGCCCCTCTGGGGCCCGGCGAGCAGTGCCCACATACAGGGATCAAATTTCGATGCAAGAGAATGCGCAGAGCAGGTCTGAAGGCCGAGAAGTAGGAGGAGAAGAAGGGACTCGGGCTTCTGGGTCTGCCCCAAGGAGAGGTCTGGAGCCCCTCGGGTATTCTTGTGCGGAGCTCGTCGTGGGCGGCGATGTGGCGTCAGGGATCTGCCTGGGAACAGGGGGAACTCGCTGGAGTTGCTCTGCGACTGCCTGTGAAGCTGTCTGTGAGCCGCATGAGGGCCAGTCGAGCCAGATGCCTGTCTGGAAGAGATCAGCTGCTTCTGGGGGCTGCTCGCGAGCTCCTGCGTGGCTGCTCGCGAGCTCCAGGGGCACTCTTGGGGTTGGCCGGAGCTTTGCCAGGCTTCGAGCTCCTCCCGGAGGCTGCCTGCGTGCTCACAGGGAGCTGCGAGTGTGAGACCGATCGCAGCTCCTCTGTCATGACTTGTGGGCTCCTGGAGACTGCCTGGGAGCTGTCGGGAGCGGTAATTGCGCTCGGGTGCTCGCAAGGGTCCTGGGGGGGCGCTTGGAGCCGTATGACACAGCACATTGTTTTGGCCCCCACATGACAGCAGCGAGCTGCTCAGGTAATTAAGGGGGCAGAGCATCTGAATAGGGGTGTCTGGACGTTCTCATGCTATCCTTTTCCTCGTTGTCAAACCACGTGACAGAGCGAGCTCTAAGCGAAGGCCCTCTAAGGAGATGGGGACCCGGGGGTCGTGATGGCCGGACACCCCATCCCTGACATGAGCGCAGAAATTGATTGTCCGAGGAGGGCATGACTGCACGTTAGATTCGCGCATCGTTGGGCGAGCTGCTTGTTCGTGCGTGCTAACATAGAGCCGACCCATCCGCCAACCGCTGCGGCCTGCCTACGACATACCCGGCCGTTCACAGCGTGGTTTGTGTTGCACCCTACCATGACCAGCCCGCGGCCCGTTTGCGGCTCGCCTCCCAAGTGTCGGTCGCCGCTTTAGCTGAAAGTCGCCAGCGGCCGCACCTACAGCTCTTCATCTGAGGCCTGCCCTAGCAGTCTGCCTGCCTGCCCGCGACTGGCCGCTCTCGTCACCCGATCCGCTCCAGCAGGCTATGCCGGCGGGCTGAATCCTAGACCATGGCCGTACAGGTTCAAGCGAGCACTCGCACGCTCAGCGGGCTGCTGCTCTCCAGCCTCCCGTAGCCAGGGCCCCGAATAGAGCAGCTGAACAGTTGGTAGTATTGTGAAGGCCTCGCGTCCGCTGCTGCCGACCCTGAAGGAGGGACCTCCCCCAGGACCCCCGCTGGCAAAACCCCGGGACCCGCCAGGACCCCAGGGGGGCGCGGCATTCTGACCTGGGACCGCCCACCCCACCACGGGCAGGACCTCCCTGGGACCCCCGCTGGCGACCCCCTGGAAGGGGTGGTGCTTTTGTCCCCTGTCCACAGGGGGGCCCTCCTCGGGATCCGCCAGGAGTCTGGGGGAGGCGCAGTCTGAGCCGGGGCGCCTCCCTCCCCCCCTCTACCGCCCCCTTACCGCACCGCCCGACCCCCCCCTCGTCAGGAAGGGGAACAAAAAGGGACCGACTTGACTAGGACGTTTCTTTTCTCTGTTCGTTCCTTTGTCCGTTGGGATTGGCGACGACGACGACGACGACGACGAAGGCGACGGCAGCGTCTCACACACGCCGAAGGGTCGGCGGATGACGGGAAGCGTCTTCGAGGTACGAGAAGCGAGTTGGACGGTGTGGCTGAATCTGCATTGTATCTAAGGGTCTCTTACTGATAGAGGGTGGCGGATCGCATCTGGCCAATCGTTAGCGGATGACGGGAAGCGTTTTCGAGGTACGAGAAGCGAGTTGGACGTTGTGGCTGGATTAGCATCATATCTAATAACGTTATTATCAATAGAGGGTGGCGGAGCGCACGGCATTTTTCGTTTGCGGATCCCCCCAACAAGCAATTTCTCTCGAGACATCCTCACACAACTATGATATTCGCGACATCGCGTTTAACAAACACAATCGTTTCGCTCGAGCCATCCTCGACAAGATGATCGCCGCGAAATTCATTTATCTGTAGAAATGTGCGTTTCGCCTGAGACATCCTCACAACCATGAGATGTTTCCGGAGGTTTTTTTTATTCCTGCTTATGTTGACGACAGCGTCTTCGCTAGGGACATCCTCAGACAATTTCCTGCAGCACGGCGGACCAGAAAAAAAAAGCACGGCAGTCATTTTGCATTTCGTCGGGGACACCCTCAAACAAGCGAGATGTTATGAACATCGTCTTGACATCGTTCTTGAAGTGCTTCAAGAGGAAGAAATGGGAGCCCAACAGTGACTCCAATATGGCTCCAAGAACGCCCCGATGACTGCTGACAATGACGATTTCGCTGGGGACATCTTCGAGGCATGAACAACAACAACGGCACCGTTTTGAAAGCTGCTGTTCTAATATCGTCTTGGGATCGCTCTTGAAAAGGCTTCCAGACGGCCCAAGCCAGGCTTCTAAAACTGACGATTTCGCGAGGGACATCCTCAAACAAGATGTGTGTGTGTGACATCGCATTGGCATGTTTTTGACGGCGTCGAGGCAGCCCCAAACGAGCCCCAAACGAGGCCCGAGATGACCCCAAGAGCGCCCTCGAGATTCCTCAAATCTAGCATTTCGCTAGAGATATCCTCATCAAACTGAGCTGTTCGCAACACCGTCTTTCACACAAACAAGCACTTCGCGTGAGACATCCACCAGAAAATGCAAATCGCGAATTTAACAAACGTCTGGAAATTGGAATCTCGCCTGAGACATCCTCGACACATGAGATGCTGAAAAGACTGGTTTAAGATCATGCGTGTTAAAACTTAGCTGTCCGCCTGTGGAATCTTCAGAACATGGGCAGGGTCACGGCAGCCCGACACGCAGAAGCACGGCAGAACGCGCGAGAGCACGGCAGAACATACAGGAACACGGCAGAACACGCAGGAGCACGGCAGAACCCAAAGAACACATCCGTAGCCATTTTGGCTCTAGCCATTTTGCTGCACTGCCCGTTCGGTCGTCTGCCGCGGCGGTGCGAGCATGGGGCTGCGGTCGGGCGGTGCCGAGGAGCTAACAGGCGCTGCCGAGCTCTTGAAGGCCACCATCCACGGAGCTGCGCACGGTGCAGCGGCAGGCGGCGGCTCCAGGCAGGTAGTCGCGGCAGCCGTGGCCGCAGCTGTGCGCACGGTTTGGGCGCTGCTGGACGGCGGCGACGCGGCGTGCGCCGAGGAGGACCTCGAGCTCGCCATGCGTCAGGCCGCCATGGAGCCGGCTATGCGCCACCAGATGCGGGGCGCGCGGCCTTGCGGCAGGGACCGCGCCTTGCGCAACGTCGGCGCGCACGTCGACCTGGGCAATGGCGTGGAGGTCCTGCAGGAGGCCCTCTCTCGGCCGCAGGGCGCGCAGCGCGGCGGCCGATGCGCGGCCCGCGCGGCGGACCCGCCCCCAGCGGCAGGCGAGGCAGCTGTGAGCTCGGTGCAGGCCGCGCCCGACTTCGGGCGGGCCGGGGCCAAATCGGGGGCGCTTGTTGTGCGGGCCCCTGCTGCCGTCGGAGCGGCCGGCGCCGAGGCGGAGGCGGGCGGCAGGCCCCGCGGCCACCGCCGTCGGCGCCGTCGCGCCGAGGCTGCAACGGTGGGCTCTGGGCCGCAGGAGGGCGACGGCAGCGGTTGTAGCCTCAGCACGGTCGGCAGCGAACAGGAGCTGGAGGACGGGCTGAAGGAGAGGCGCCGCGGCCAAGAGCCTGTTGCGAGCCAGCGGGCGGCGGAGCTGGTTGCCACCCCGCTCTCCCCGACGCCCAGGGCCGAGCAGCGCAGCCGCGAGCCGTCCGAGTGCGACGAGGGCGAGCTGCGCGACGTGGACGGGCACGACGACGCCGAGCAGAGGCGGCAGCGCAGCGTGAACTGGGACGACGGCGGGTCGGAGGGATCCGTGCAGAGCGTGAAGATCGGGCGCCAGGCCTTGTCCACGGAACGTGTGGTCGCCTGCGTCCTGGCCACGCAGCTTCGGCCCATCGGGAGCACGGTGTCCAGCTCCTCGGCCTTCCTTTCTCTCGGCGGCTGCGTGAAGAACGCCGCTCGGGTCGTGGAGATGCTCGAGAAGAGGTTCGGCGTCTCGCTCCCTAGCTCGGCCGAGTCCGACCTGTTGCTCGCTAGGGCGGGTTGGCAGACGGTGCAGGATATCGCCGACTGACCAAGTGCAGCGCAGGGTCGACTCGAGCACGCGGTAAGGTGCGGCTGCCTCGTGTGTCTCCTTGCTGTTTCGGACATCGCTTCCTCTTCTGAGTGAGTGGCCTCCTGTATTTGTGTGTGTGTTCTCTGACGCATCACGATATTGTTGAGGGCGCACTCTCTCTGTCATGTGAGTGGCTTCCTGCATCTGATTGCGTACTTCGTTACATTTCTTTGCAGTCGATTGCGCACTCTCAGTGAAGTGTTCCGAGCCTGGGGCCCTCGTTGCCCAGGCTTGAAGAGGCCTGGGGGTGGCTGGAGTGGCGGCCCGTGGGGCCCTCGGGCCCTGCCCCGCCTCGGCCTTTCGGGGAGGGTTGGCCCACTGCGGCCCCCTCGGTTTTTGGAGGGTGGCCCAGAGTGGCCCCCTCGCGCGTTCGCTGACTTGCCTTTGCGGCCCCTCCAACCAACCAACCAACCCAAAGAACACACGGGAGCACGGCCGAACAAACAGGAGCACAGCCGAACGCACAGGATCACGGCAGAACACACAGGAGCACGAGGAGCACCGGCAGAATACACATAATGCAAAAGGCGCACGGCAGCACACACACACACACGCACAGAGAGGAGCACGGCAGAACACGCACGTGCGCGGCAGAACACACACACACATAATCCGCAGCCGTTTTGGCTCAAGGCCATGGGGCACCCGACGACCGCAAGTCGTCCGCGGCGTTCCGAGCGCGAGGGTCTCCTCGCTTTGGGCCAGTGCACTTCTTCGTTGCGCTCCCTGCTTTCGCGGCGCGGAGGCGCGACCTGTCAGCCAGCGCGGCTAGGGCCATGGCGCGCTCCTCGCGGGGTGGCGGCAGCGGCAGCAGGCGCGGCAGGACGCACTGGATGTGCAGCTGCGGTGGGTGGAACTGGGACTGGCGCACCACGTGCCTCGGCTGTGGGCGCGCGGCCCCGCCATGGGCGCTGGAAGCAGCAGCAGCCAAGGCCGAGCCCCAGGCTGATAAGGGCGGCTGGGTGGATCAGCCGCGCGGGCGCCGTGCCCAGCGGCAGGCCCGCAGTGCTGCAACGAGCGCGGCCGCCTCCAAGTGGACGCCCGGCGGCAGCGGCGCCGCGGCGATCGAGAGGCTGCAAGTGGCGGTCGAGGAGCTGGAGGCGCTGCAGGCAGAGCCGCCCGACGGGGTCGATTGCTGCTTCGCCGACGTCGTCGCCAGCCAGTTGGAGGCCAAGCGCGCCGAGCTGGCCGAGGCCCAGCGGGCTGCAGCGGAGCAGAAGGCGTCCTCCATGCCGCTGCCGACGATGCTCCACAAGGAGGCGAACGCCATCAGCAAGGCGGAGAAGCGCCTCAGAGCAGCGCGCCAGAGCCTGGAGCAGAAGCAAGCGGCGCGTGGCCTCGCCGAGGCCCAGCTGCAGAAGGCCCAGGAGGAGCTGGCGCAGCTCGACGCGGAGGTGGAGGAGGCCAGCCGTGCGTTCCACGTTTTCGAGGAGGAAGCCCGAGTGGAGGCCGCTGCGCAGCTGCGTCAGCGCGCGGCCGAGTGGGCAGGCGCCAGCCAGGTCCCAGGGCCCCTCATGCAGCTGGACAAGCTGCCCGAGGCGTGGGGCTCCAGCAACTTCGAGGTGGCGTGGGCGGCCATTCGCTCCCAGGTGGAGGCGGTGCGCGCGCAGCTCGCCGAAGCCCCTGCGGTCCCGAGGAGAGCACCCTGGGCGGAGTCGTGCCCCATGGACGCGATCAGCAGCGAGGTCGGCGACCACGCAGGAGGCTGCAGGCCTTGGCAGCCGCAGTGCGCCGCGAAGCGCGGCCAGGCCGAACGCCGCGGCGAGTGGCCGAAGGTCGCCCAGGCGGGCAAGCGGGAGCTGGCGGCCGAGGCTGAGGACCTGGCCCCTCTTGCAGGTCGCCCTGCTGGCCGCGCCGCTGGGAGCCGCGGCGGAGGCGAGAGGCCGCGGCAGTCGCGCGCGTAGCCACGCCAGAGGCGCTACGCCTAGGCAGCAGGAGGGCGGCGGCGCCGAAGCGGCCCGCATCGGCGGCAAGCTGCCCCTCGACCTCGGGAGTGCGCAGGCCCCACCAGCGCCAGGCCAAGCTGCGACGGCAGCTCAGGATGTCCGCTGCGGGCTGGAGGAGCTCGGGACCAACGGCAACTTATGGAGGGGGAGCCTAGAGGTGATCGGGGCCTGGGACTCTCGCAACAGAGCCCCGCCGCACCTGGTGATGCCCCAGGAGACCCGCCTCGCTCCGCACCGCCTGGAGGAGGCCAGGGGAGCAGCCCGGCGCATGGGATATACGGCGTTCCTCCGCGCGTCGGCGCCCGCGGACAAGGAGGGCCCGCCGGCGAACTCAGGCGGCGTCGCAGCCTTGAGGCATTGCTTGATTGGAGTCACAGTGTCCACGGCGTCAGGCCTGCAGCCGCTGGCGTGCTCGCGATGCCTCCAGGGCGCCCTGGGGCCCAAAGGCTTCAACCTCGACATCTTCGCCGCCTTCGGCGACGCGGTGCTCTACCAGAGACCGCGGTTCATTGTGGCCCAGCTGCCTGCGCTGGCAGCCCTCCGCGCCGCCTCAGCGGGCGGCAGGCCACTGGTTGTCGCTCGCAACGTCGTCGGCGACATCGCGCTGCAGGCCGTGGGCTCGGAGCAGCTGGTGGCCGCGCGGCTCGGCAGCGCTGGGCTGGAAGTGGCTCGCCGCCTCCGTGTTCAGCACCGTCCCTTCAGCGCTGCCAAGACGACCTTCCTCGCTTCGAGCCCCGGCCTTGGACGCCAGCTCGGGGTGTGCTGGAAGACGCAAGGCTGGACCTTCCGTAAGACCTTGCAGGCCGGGAACCTCGGCGCGGACGCCGCCAACGCGAGGAGAGGAGTACATGAGGGCCGAGTCCGAGCTGCAGGAGCGCTTCGCCGAGCGCGCAGGCTGGACCCGATCCACAAGGCTGGGCCCACGGCCAGCATGGCGCGCGGTCCCACGGTCACGGGCAACGCGGACGGCGAGCTACACAGATGGAGGCTTGCGGCCTGCCGCAGCGCAGGAGCGCCCCCCCATGGGCGCGGAGCGAGGGCTGCGCAGGCGCTGTGCCGTGCTCAGGAGGAGGCGCAACCTGGATCCTGCGGCCCTCACGGCAGGCCACGCAGCCCAGAGAATGGCGGGCCTGCTGCAGACAGGCGAGCTGCCGCCCAGGACGGTGGAGCGGGGGCTGGAGGCGGCGGCGACCAGGCGCGCAGGAGCTGACACGCCATGGAAGCACTGCGCCTCCCCCTTCGACGCGGAGGTGCTGACCCGTGCGCGGATCGATTGTCACTTCAAGTCCGAGCGGTGCATGGTCACGGACCTTGGCGCCGTGCTCGACCTCATCCACTTCGGATCTTGGGAGCTGGGCTTGGAGGCTGGCCTTGGCGCTCGGCGCGCGCCCGTTCGTCGCGAGACGCCGAAGATCAGCCACGACACCCGCTTGCAGCGGCCACTGCACTGGGGCGCCATCGGGCGCCTGCTCGGGCCAGACGGCGGGCCCAGAGTGAGGGGGCAGAACGTGCTCGGGGCCTACATCTCCAACACGCACTCGACGCAGGCCAGGCTCCACGATGCAGGTGAACAGGGGCATGCGCGCTGCTGCTGCTGCGGAGCAGAGAGAGGCACCTTGTGGCACCGCCTGTTCGGCTGCCCCGTGCTCGAGGCCCAGCGGCGCGACGGAGTGTCGGCACGGCTGAAGCAGTGCGCAGAAAAAGCGCGGGCCTTTGGCGAGAGCGCAGGCGACAACTTCGGCCGCTGCTGGCTGCCCGCACCAGAGCCACCGCAGGGTCGCCGCACCGACGCCATGTGGGTGCAATGTGTCTGCAGGCCAGCCGATGATAAGCTCAACGGCAAGCGGTGCCTCGATGGCTCGGCGCTCGAGCCGCAGTTCGGCGCCCTGCGCTGTGAGGGCTGGGCCATAGCGCAACGCGGCGACGGCGGCAACCTGGTGGCAGGGGTCTACGGCACCGTCTGGCGCGACCGCCGCCCGCAGCAGACGGCCAAGGACAGCGAGGACCTTGCTGCCTGGATGTTCGCCACCCTTGTGCGGGGCCAGCAGTGGAGGAAGTCAACATCGACTGCAGCTCCGCAGTGTCCTGCCTGCGGAGAGGGCGTGCGTACGCCACCGCGCCCAGCAGGGCGAACGCCCACCTATGGTGCAGGATTCTGGCAGCCTTCGGGCCAGGCGCTTTCGAGGTGAAGTAGGTGCCAGCCTCCTTTTCGAGGCAGGCAGTGCTCGGCGGGCTCCTGACGGAGGCCCAGAGGCGCGGCAACGAGCTCGCTGACCGCCTCGCCCCGCCTGCTGCTGAGCGGCGCCAGGTGCGTTTCGCTGACGCCGAGGTGACTCAGGCAGCGGAGGGTGCCACGGGCGAGGAGCCGATGGCCAAGTGGCCACGCTTGCAGAGCGCCCGCTCGACAGGCAGCAGCTCGGCAGCCCTTTCGGCCAGTGCAGTAGCCTTCAGCATCCTGGGGCATGCCCTTTCCTATGCCTGCGCTGGAGAAGGTGAGGGCACCCAGGAGCTCGGGGCATGCTCCAAGTGCGGCGCCTACATGGCGCTGGGCGGCCGCTCAGGGGTTAGGCCTCGCCTCGAGGAGCGGTGCCCAGGCGACAAGACCGACGAGGACGGCAGGAACTAGCGCAGCCTGTGGCTACGAGGACTCCCTCCTGGAGGCAGGAGGCAGGAGGGGTCACGAGCTGCCAGGCACAGAGTGAACGGAAAAGGCATCCCTGCGCTGCGCTCGCAGGGCCCAGTGCCTGAGCACGCGCAGGAGCGGTGCCTGGAGTGGCTTGGCACGGCAGCGGAGCCAGCTGTTGACTCCTCGGCCACTGCGAGCAGCGCAGGCAACGCCCCAGCTGCAGCTGCGGAGCCGCAAGTGGCAGCGGGCCCAGGAGAGGCCCCAGCGGGCGCGGCCGTCGTTGCGGCCGCTGCCAGCCTGCCCCTGCGGCACGCACGCACACACACAGAATGCAGACCATGCAGGAACACGACATAACACACAGGAGCACGGCAGACCACACAGGAGCACGGCAGAACGCACAGGAGCAACCCGTAGCCATTTTGGCTCAAGCCTGGCTCGGCGCTCGGCGGCGGGCGCTCGGGCATGATGGCGCGGGCTGGGACGCTGGGCAGCGTTCCTGGTGCTGCTCGCGCTTGCCTCGGCGAGCCGCGGCGGACGCGCGCGGAGCGTTCTGCGGCTCGGAGGCGGGCGCTCGAGGCAGCGGACAACGGAGTGAGGGCGGCGCTCGCGGAGGCAGCGGCCCTGCGCAGCGAGCTGGAGGCCGTTCGGCGGCGCTTCGCGCCCTACGTGGGCGACGCCGAGCTGGCCGACCGCCCGGAGGCGATCGTGCCCGCGCTGACGGCCTTGCTGCGGGGAGTGGTCCCCGAGCAGGGGGATGCAGTGCGGAGGAATGTGGCTCTCCACGCTGATGCCCCTGGGGTCAGGGTTGCGTCGGCGCGTGGCCCCACCCTTCGGCGGCCCCAGTGGTCCGCCAGGCTGGAGGCGAGGCGAGAGCCTAGGTGATGCAGGCCCAGATCGACGTCGATGAGTGCGACGAGGCGCAGCAGCAGCTTAACATGGGGTTCGTGCTGGCTGGGCGCGCCCGCGTTGGGCGTGGCGCCCGCGTCGGCAATTGCCACGTGCCTTCCCTTCTCTTCCCTGGGGCGTCGGAGGTTGACTGCGAGGTGGACTTCGTGCAGGCCGCGGGCGCTATGGCGGCGCCGCCGCGCGCTGCTGGCGAGTGCTCCGGCTCCGACGGCGTGATCCTCGACGGCGAGGCCGACGTGGCCACCGCTTGCTCGGTTGGGGAGCAGCCAGCTGCCGAACCTGCTGGACATGTTGCTGCCGCCGCCGCCGCGTACCTCGACGCCGTCCCGCGGGCCCTCTGCCGTGGGGGCGGCGGCGCCAGGGCTCGCGGCGAGGTCGCGGCTCGCGATTGGTGGCGTGCGAGGGCGGCCGTCGCCCGCGCTTGGCTCACAGCGGATGCCGCGACGGTGCAGGCGCCCTCGGATGAAGGAGCGAGCGCTGGAGGTACTGCAGGCGGGGCGCCGCTGCCTCCAGGCTTGGATTCGAGGAGTGGTTGGTGCTCCTTGTGAGACGTCTTTTCCCTGCGTGTTCGGAATGCCTTCTGAGTGATGGTTCGCCTTGCACGTCTGTTCCCCATTGGAGGTGGGGGGCTGTGGTTGTTCAGTGGGTAATGTCTCCTGCATTTGAATGTGCACGTGGTGTATTTGCAATGCAGTCGAGTTCGGTTGTGATCATGCGTAGCTTCTGTTCTCGCAGTGCTTGCATGATTGGCGTGGGCAGGTTGGGGGCCAGAGCCAGCGGCTTTGCCGTCCGCCTTCCCTGGCCCGTGTCGTGAGGCGGCCCTAGGTGTCCCCTCTTGGGTGGTCGCGTCTCAGGACCCATCTTCTTTCGGGGACGCGGGCCCCGTCTGGCCCTGTCTGCGTTTCTGGCCACCACTTGCCTTGAAGGCCCCGTCTTTAACTTTAACTGTAACTTTCACACACAGGAGCATGGCAGAACACACGGAGGAGCACGGCAGATCACGGCAGAACAAGCAGGAACACCGTTGAACACACAAAACACGTAGGAGCACTGCAGAACAATCAGGAGCGCGGCAGAACAGACATGAGCACGGCAGTACACATAGGAGCACGGCATAACACATATGAGCACGGCAGAAGTGGCGGCAGAACACGCAGGTGCACGGCAGAACACACAGGAGCACGGCAGAACACACAGGACCATGAGGATCACGGCCGAACACACAGAGTACATAGGAGCACGGAAGAACACACAGGAGCATGGCAGAACACACAGGAACGCGGCAGATCACACAAAAACACACACGAGCACGGCAGAACAACCAGCATTACGGCCGAACGCACAGGAGCACGGCAGAACACGCAGGAGCATTGCAGAATACACAGGAGCACGGCAGAACACACAGGAGGACGGCAGAACACGCAGGAGCACGGCACACCACATAGAACATCGATTCACACAGCCGCACCCACCGGCACACGCACGTAGGCACACGCACATAGGCATACACACGCACACGCACACGCGCACACACACAGACACATACACACACGCACACACACACGCACACACAGAGAGGCAACGTATGTTCACGCAGACCGCAGGAACACGGCAGCGCAGCACAGCATAACACAGCAGTGCCGCAGACCACCACGCAAGGACACACATGCGCGGATTCCACGCACGCACGCGCACGCTCAAACGCACGCACACCACGACAGATTTGCGCAGCGCGTACTAAAAACGTATGATATCTCATAAGCCCAGGACGCTAAAGGACGCTTCCCGTCCTTGTCCGGTCAGGTTTCTCAACATAACGATTTCGCTTGAGGCATCATCACAACAATGAGACCTTCGCGACATCTGGTCTTACAATCACAAGTGTCTCGCTCGAGATGTCCTTGAAACATTGAGATCCGCGAAATCCGCCAATCTGCAAACAAAACTGCGTTTCGCCAGAGACATCCGAGCCTACATGAGATGTCGACGGAGGTGCATGACTACCTCGTATGTTGAAAAAGGCGTCTTCGCTAGGGACACCCTCCGACAATTCTCCGCATAACGGCGGACCAGCCCACAAACACGGCAGATCATTTGCATTTCGCTGGGGGCATCTTCAAACAAGTGGGATGTTCTGAACATCGTCTTGACGTCGTTCTTGAAGTGCTTCAAGAGGAAGAAATGGGAGCCGAACGCGGACCCCAAGACGGCTCCAAGAGCGCCTTGATGATTGCCGAACATGACGAGTTCGCATCCTTAGAACATGCAACATGCAACAGCATCGGTCTGACATGTTCTGTTCTAGCATCGCTCTTGAAAAAGCTTCCAGACGGCCCAAGCCAGGCCTCAATACATTACAATTTCGCGAGTGACAATGTTCAACAAAAAAGATGCGTGCGACATCGCATTGGTATCGTGTTGATGCCATCGGGGCAGTCCCAAACGAGCCGCCCCGAACGAGGCCCAGTATGACCCCCCGAGCGCCCCCGAGATTTCTCAAACTTAGCATTTCGCTAGGGGCATCCTCACCCAAATGATTTGTTAGTAAAAACAGGCGTTTCGCCTGAGACGTCCACCAGGAAATTAAAGTCGCGAGTTTCACACGCATGAATATGGAGCTATCGCCTGAGGCACCCTCGAACACATGAGATGTTGAAGGTTGATTTAAGACCACGCATGTTAAATTTAAGCTTCTCGCCTGACGCATCTTCAGAAACTTGGCAGGACCACGACAGCCAAACACACAGAGGCACGACAAAACGCGCGAGAGCACAGCAGAACGCACAGGAGCACGGCAGAACACGGAGGGGCATGGCAGAACAAACAGGAACACAGCAAAACGCTCAAGAGCACGACAGAACATACATGAGCACGAGGAACACGGCAGAGCACACATAATACAGAGGAGCACGGCACAAAACACAGGAGCATGGCAGAACACGCAGGTGGTCGGTAGAACACACAGAACACACGGGAACACAGCAGAACACACAGGAGCACGGCAGAACACAGGAGCAGGAGTCCGTAGCCATTTTGGCTCAAGGCCATGAAGCACCCGACGACCGCAAGTCGTCCGCGGCGTTCTGAGCGCGAGGGTCTCCTCGCTCTGGGCCAGTGCAATTCGTTGTTGCGCTCCCTGTTGTACCCGCGCGGAGGCGCATCCTGTCGGCCAGTGCTGCAGTGGCCATGGCGCGCCCCTTGCGCTGCGGCGGCGGTGGCAGCAGGCGCAGCAAGACGTGCTGGATGTGCAGCTGCGGTGGTTGGAACTGGGACTGGCGCACCACGTGCCTCGGCTGCGGCTACGCGGCACCACCGTGGGTGCTGGATGCCGCTGCTGCCAGGGCCAGGCCCCAGGCGGACCAGGACGGCTGGGTGGACCAGCCGCGAGCGCGCCGTGCCCAGAGGCAGGCCCGCGGTGCGGCTGCGAGCGCGGCATCCACCGAGTCGCAGACCTCGGTGTCGGGCGACAGCGGGGCGCCCAGCGGCGGCGGCGCCGCGGCGATCGAGAGGCTGTAGGCAGCGGTCGAGCAGCTGGAGGCGCTGCAGGCGGGGCCGCCCGACGGCGTGGACAGCTGCTTCACCGACGTCGTCGCCAGCCAGCTGGGGGCCAAGCGCGCCGAGCTGGGCGCGGCCCAGCGGGCAGCAGCAGAGCAGAAGGCGCCCTCCCTGCCGCGGTCAACGCTGCTCCAGAACGCCATCAGCAAGGGAGAGAGGCGGCTCCGCGCCGCGCGCCAGAGCCTGGAGCAGAAACAGGCGGCGCGCGACCTCGCCGAGGCCCAGCTCCAGAAGGCCCAGCAGGAGCTGGCGCAGCTCGACGCAGAGTTGGAGGAGGCATCCCGTGCTTTCCGCGCCCTTCAGGAGGACGCCCGTGCGGAGGCCCCGGCGCAGCGGCGGCAGCGGGCAGCGGAATGGGCAGGGTCCAGCGAGGTCCCTGGGCTCTTCGTGCAGCTGGACAAACTGCCCGAGGCTTGGATCCAGCAACTTCGAGGTGGCATGGGCGGCCATTCGTGCCCAGGTGGAGGCCGTGCGCACGCTGCTCGCCCAAGCCCCTGCTGCACCAAGGAGGGCGCCATGGGCAGAGTCATGCCCCATGGAGGAGGTCAGCAGCGAGGACGGCACCCACGCAGGAGCGACCGGGCCCTGGCAGCCGCAGCGCGCCGCGGAGCGCGGCCAGGCAGAGCGCCGCGGAGACGCCCGCGGCGAGAGGCCGAAGGTCGCCCAGGCGTTCAAGCGGGAGCTGGTGGCCGAGGCTGCTGACCTGGCACCTCTTGCTCCTCGCCCTGCTGGGCCTGCAGCCAGGAGTTGCAGCGGAGGTTCGAGGCCAGGGCAGTCGTGCATTTAGCAGCACCAGAGCGTCTGAGCCGAGGCAGCGCGCGGGCGGGGGCGCCGATACGGCCCGCATTGGAGTCAAGCGGCCCCTCGACCACGGGAGGGCCCAGGGCCCACAGGCGCCCGGCCAAGCGACAACGGCAGCTCTGGATGTCCGGCGCGGGCTCGAGGTGCTCGGGGTCAACGGCAACACGTGGAGGAGGAGCCTGGAGGTCATCGAGGCCTTCGCCTCTCGGCACGGCGCCCTGCCGCACCTGGTAATGCTCCAGGAGGCCCGCCTGGCCCTGCACCGCCTGGAGGAAGCCAGAAGCGCAGCGCACCGCATGGGATATGCGGCTTTCCTCCACGCGGCAGCGCCCACGGACAAGGAAGGCCCGCTCGCGAACTCAGGCGGCGCGGCGACCCTGGTGCGCAGCGACCTGCAGGCAGCGGAGAGTGCGTGGATGGCGCCGAGTGACTTGAGGCATCGCATGATTGGGGTCACGATCACCACAGCGTCAGGGCTGCAGTTCCTGGCGTGCTCGCTGCATCTGCAGGACGCCCTGGGGCCCAAGGGCATCAACCTCGACATCTTCGCGGCCTTCGGCGACACGGTGCTTTCCGAAGGCACGCCCTGGCTCGCGCAGGGCGACTTCAACATGGAGCCAGGCACGCTGCACGAGTTGGGCTGGCCTCGGGTGCAGCGCGGCACGTACCTGGGGCCTGCCGAGTGCACATGCGTGGCCCAAGGTGATGAGCATGTGTACGACTGGTTCGTGGGCTCCTTCTGCCTGGCCCATGGCGTCAGAGAGGCCTCAGTTCTGGATGGCTTTGGGCTGTGCCCCCACAAGCCTGTGAGGCTGCTGCTGCAGGACGTGAGACCCGACGCCCTGGTGCAGGTGCTGGTACGTCCTGGTCGCTTTCTTGATGTCGACGCAGCTGCGCGCCGTCCCCACGAGGATGCAGCAGTGCAGGTACACCGCCGCTTGGGGCGCACCCGTTGGCAAGTGGAGCCCTGCAGCTGGACCTGGGAGGTTCCTGGGAGGTTGGCTCCCAGCCGAGCGACGCCTGCGAGGCCGCTCGGCAGTGGATCCAAGTCGTTGAGAGCACCGTAGTGGGGATCCACGGCATCGGCGACGGCGACCTGCCCAGGTACCTGGGCCGGTCTGCAGGGCCCAGGGTTGTCCTCAAGCCCCTCAGCGCCGTGGTCAAGCGCGAGTACCGCCACCGGCACTCGGCCCTCACCCACGCCATCCGCCAGGCCCTCGACGTCCCTCTCCAGAGGGTCACCGCGGACAAGACGAAGCGGTGGCAGCCCGCGCACGAGGCCTGGTACGAGCGGCAGGTCGAGCGGGTCCTCGCCGATGTGGAGGCTGCCACGGTCGCAGGCTGCGAGGAGGACGAAGTCGAAGCCCTCGAGATCGACACTAGTGAGTGGGGCGACCTCGTTAGCCAAGCTGGCCTTCATGGAGACGCAGAGGCGGTTGCAGTGCTGCAGCGGCGCCTCGCATGCTCCCAGAGGCGAGATGGATGCAAGAGCTCGGCCTCCTGGAGGGCATGGGCCAAGGAAGCGGTGCAGAAAGGGTGGCAGGCTGGCCCATCGAATTGCCACGGCTGTGCCGCCCCCGCAGGTGGTCGACCCCGACACAGGCAGACATTTGGCTGGCATGCTGGCAGTCGGGCAGCTGGAGGCCAACTGGCAAGCCCTCTGGCAGCAGGAGGGCTTCCAATCGGGGGTGCTGGAGTCGGCAGCTGGGACGTTTCAGGCGCGACCTTGCCTCCCCTCAGCCTGGAGATGCTGCAGGCTGTCTGCAGGCGCTATTCGCCTACGGCGGGCCTGGGGGCCGACCAGCTCCACCCGCGGCAGCTACTGCTGCTCCCAGTGGCCCTGCAGCTGCGATGCCTGGACCTCCTGGAAGCATATGAGGAGCAACCCCAGGCCTTGGGCGCTCAGGCCACCATGATGGTCTTCATTCCCAAGGCAGACGGAGGGGCCCGACCGATTGCGCGGATCCCGCTGCTCATGCGCATCTGGAGCCGCCTGAGGCAGCCAATCTGTGCGCTGTGGGAGGCGGAGCACGACCGCCGCTTCTGGGGCAAGGCAGACCGCGGGTGCAAGAAGGCTGGCTGGCTGCACAACGCCTTTGCCGCCTTTGCGCGGGAGAATGGGTTTGCCGCCGCCAGCCTCTTTCTGGACACCACCAAGTTCTACGAGAACCTGCGGCGCGACGTCCTGTGGCAGTGCGGGATCGAGCACGGCTTCAACCTGAAGTTGCTGCGTGGCCTGCTCGTGCTTTACCAGAGCCCGCGGTTCATTTGCTTCGTGGGCATGGCCACCGAGTCCTTCACCACCTGCGGGACGGTCCTTGCAGGGTGCGCGTGTGCGACCACGGTGGCCAAGCTACCCGTGCTTGCTGCCCTCCGTGCTGCCTCGGCGGGAGGCAGGCCGCTGGTGGTCGCTGCGCAGCTGGGCACAGCTGGGCTGGAAGTAGCGCGCATCCTCCGCAGCCAGCACCTGCTCATCAGTGCCGCCAAGACGACCTTGCTCGCCTCGAGTCCCAGCCAGGGGCGCCAGCTGGGCGAGTTCTGGAAGTCGCAGGGCTGGGCTTTCCGTAAGACCTAGCAGGCCAGGAACCTCGGCACGGGCGCCACCATCACGAGGCGGGGAGTGCATGAGGGCCGAGTACGAGCTGCTGGTGCACTTCGCCGCGCACGCAGGCTGGGCTGCCTGCGTGCTGCAGGCGTGGAGGTGGACCTCATCCATAAGGCTGGGCCCACAGCTAGTATGGTGTGGGGGCGGACAGTCACGGGCATCGCTGACGGTGAGTTGCGCAGCTGGAGGCTCGCCGCATGCCGCAGCGCAGGAGCGCTCCCCATGGGCGCTGCGCTTGGGCTTCGCATGCGGTGCGCCGAGCTCAGGAGGAGGCGCGACCTTGACCCCGCAGTCCTCACGGCTGGCCATGCGGCCCAGATGCTGGCGAGCCTCCTGCAGTCAGCCGAGCTGCCGCACAGGATGATGGCGCGGGGACTGGAGGCGGCGGCAGCCGGGCACGCAGCTGCCGACGCACTGTGGAAGCACTGCGCCTCCCCCATCGATGCGGCGGTGCTCGCCCTCGCTCGGATCGGCTGGCACTTCAAGTCCGAGCGCTACCTCGTCACGGACCTCGGCGACGAGCTCGACCTCTTGCTCCTCGGGCCTCGGGAGCTAGGGCTGGAGGCTGGCCTCGGCGCCAGGCGCGCCTCCGATCGCCACGAGATGCGGAAGCTCAGCCACGACCCCCTCCTGCAGCGGCCCCTGCACTGGGACGCAATCGGGCGGCTGCTCGGGCCAGACAGTGAGCTGAGCGTGAGGGGGCCGAATGCGCTTGGGGCCTGCATCTCCAACACGCACTGGACGCAGGCCAGGCTCTTCGACGCAGGGGGGCGAGGGCACGCGCGTTGCTGCCGCTGTGGGGCCGAGAGAGGCACCTTGTGGCACCGCCTGTTCGAGTGCCCCGTGCTGGGGCCCCAGCGGCGCGACGGAGTGTCCGCACGGCTGAGGAGGTGTGCGGAGAGAGCGCGGGCCCACTGGGAGAGCTCTTGCGAGAACTTCGCCCGCTGCTGGTTGCCTGCCCCAGCGCCGCCCCAGGGTCGCCGCACTGACGCCATGTGGGCGCAGTGGGTCAGCAGGCCAGCCGATGAGAAGCTCAACGGCAAGCTGTACCTTGACGGCTCGGCCCTCGAGCCGCAGTTCAGTGCTCTTCGCCGCGCGGGATGGGCCATTGCACAGTGCGATGACGACGGCAACCTGGTCGCAGGGGTCTACGGCACCGTCAGGCGAGTCCTCTGCCCGCAGCAGACGGCCAAGGACGGCGAGGACTTCGCAGTGTGGATGATCGCCACCTTTGCAGGGCCAGCAGTTGAGGAAGTCAACGTCGACTGCAGCTCCACCGTGACCTGCCTGCGCAGGGGGAGTACATACGCGACGAAGCCCAGCAGGGCCACCGCCCATCTGTGGGGCAGGACCCTGGCATGCCTCGAGCCAGGGACCTTCGTTGTGAGGAAGGTGCCAGCCCACTGCTCAAGGCAGGCGGTGCTCGACGGGCGCCTAACGGAGGCCCAGCGGCGCGGCAACGAGCATGCTGACCGCCTTGCCAAGGTGGGGGCCCTGACGCACGCAGTGGACAGGCAGACGGTCGGCGAGCACCACGCGCTGGCGGAGATCGTGCTGGAGCCCGGGCGCTGGATCAGTCGGGCAGCCATCCTCTGGCAGGACATCGCGGCCAAGGACTGTGAAGGGCTGCCGCCTGCAGCTGAGCGACGCCAGGTTCGCTTCGCCGCTGCGGGGGCGTCGCGGGCAGCAGAGGGGGCCGCTGGCCTAGCGCCGAGCGCCAAGCGGCCGCGCCTGGAGAGCGCCCGCTCGGCAGGCAGCAGCGCAGCCGCCCTCTCGGCCAGCGCTGCAGCCTTCAGCATCCTGGGACACGCCCTCGCCTACGCCTGCCCGGGAGAAGGAGACGGAACCCAGGAGCTCGTGGCGTGCGCCAAGTGCGGCGCCTACATGGCGCTGGGGAGTCGTGGTCGCTCTGGCGCGAGGCCTCGCCTCAAGGGGCGGTGCCCGGGCGGCAAGGCCGACAAGGGTGGCAGGAACCGGCGCAGCCTGTGGCATCGGGGGCTCCATCCTGGTGGCAGGAGGCAAGAAGGGCCCCGAACTGCCAGGCACAGAGCGAAAGGAGGAGGCATCCCTGCTCTGCGCTCGCAGGGGCCGCTGCCAGAGCATGCGCAGGAGCGGTGCCTGGAGTGGCTTGGCATTGCGGCGGGGCCAGAGGTCGGCCCCTCGGCAGCAGCGGGCTCAGCAGGCAGCGCCTCCGCGGCGGCCGCAGCGCCCGCCGAGGCGGGGGGCCCAGATGTGGCGCCCGCGGTCGCGCCCGCGGCGGCCGCCGACACCGGCCAGCCTCTTCGGCGCCCAGCCGCGGCGAGAGCGGCCCTCCTCGGGGCCTTCGGGGTCACGGAAGAGGAGCTCGCCGCCGCAGCCATGGCAGCGGTCGGGGCCCTGGAGGACCGCAGGGTACGCCGCCGCATGGCCCGCCGCGGCGCGCCGCCCGTGAGTGAGTGAGTGAGTGAAGCAGTGCATCGTTGTGGCCTGCGCGTGCTGCTCCCGTAGGTGAGTAGGCTTCCGCCGCCCTCGGTGCCCGCCTGGCTCGGCCTCTTTCGGGGGCGCGGGCCCCGTCTGGGCCTGCCTGCGTTCTGGCCGCCACTTGCCTTTAAGGCTCCGTCTTTAACTTTGACTTTAACACAGGAGCAGGAGGAGCACGGCAGAGCACGGCAGAACAAGCAGGAACGCGGCAGAACACGCAGGAGCATGGCAGAACACACAGGAACACGGCAGAACACACAACACACATAGGAGCACGGCAAATAAAGCAGGAACCTAGCAGAACACATAGGAGCACGGCAGTACACAGGAACACGGCAGAACACGCAGGAGCAGGGCAGAACTTGCAGGAGCAGGGCAGAACTTGCAGGAGCACGGCAGAATTCGCAGCATTACAATGAGCACGGCAGAACACACAGAGTACACAGGAGCACGGCAGAACACACAGGAGCACGGCAGAACACACAGGAGCGCGGCAGATCGCACATAACACATCGGGACTTGGCAGAACATGCAGCAGCACGGCAGAACACACAGGAGCACGGCAGAGCAGGGAGCAGGACAACGGCAGAACACACAGGAGCACGGCAGTGCACACAGGAGCACAGCAGAACACACAGGTGCACGGCAGAACACGGCATAATACAGCAGTGCCGCAGACCACCACGCACGGACACATGTGCACATATTCCACGCACTCACGCGCACGCGTAAACGCACGCACGCTACGACATATCTGCGCGGCCGACAAACAAAAGAACATATTTCACATACCTGCTGGACAAAAGCAACGCTTCCCGTTCTTGTCTGGTCAGGTTTCTAGATCCTCTGTTCCCTTGGTCGGCCTCGCGTGCTTTGAGTCTATCAGCTGCTCGGCGCGGACGAGGAACAAATCAGCGCAATGGGGTAAGGGATGGGTGGCAGGGATGGGCGGGAGGGATATGATTTCAGGTATGATGCAGCAAGCGCGCCTAGCTTGTGTCTTCTCCTTTACTCGTTTCACTCCTCTTTTCCTCCCACTTCCGCTCATCTCCCCCGCGTCTGCGCGCTGGCCCGCGTCCCGCCGGCCTCGCCGGCGTCACTACGCATGGCTACCTCCAACGTCCTGCACAATTTAAGGCGGATGTTTCTCGCAAGTTTCTCGGAGGATGGCCAGTCGAGACAACGGCGGCCTTCCCTGTCTACGTGTTTCGTCTTTGTCAGGTCTCCTGCAGGCTTCGAGCCGCCACGGCCGGATCTCGGTCGAAACAAGGGTCATGATAGACCCGAGCATGGGTTTGGGGAACGATTTGAGTGGATTGTGGGTGGGCGGGAGGGCCGCCGGTGTATCAACTGGCCCTCCTCCACGTTTCGGCCCCCCTGGATCGCAAGCAGACTTTATGGGACGATGGACCAGTCCCCGCCAGGGGCAGAAAGTCGAGACAGGTCCAGGGCCCGCGCACTCGAAACAAATCAAGAGATCCGATACAACTCTGTTGAGCACGCATAAGCACGTGGCCGAAGAGGTGCAACCGTGTGCTCCGCACGCGGTCCCCGTAAGTCCCGACCCGCTCCTGCGGGCCAGCCTCTCACCCTGGACAGATGCTTTGACGGCTCAAGGCCCAGAATCCAAAGACGCCCCCCTCCCCGGGGCTCATTTCGACTCCGACTCTACTCGATTCGATTTCGACCGATGCCGATTCCGATTCGATCCGTCTTCGGGTTTTGATCTGGGCTTCGGTATTTAAAGAGACCTTACCAGCCTGCCTATTTCCGCCGATTTTTCTCCCGACTTGGCTGATTTGTTTCGATCGTCGATCCGGCTTATTGATTCGATTCTGGATTCTCTTACTTCCTGGAGTCCGAGAACCCTGAAACACCTTCGTTTAGTTTTCCCCAGTCGTCGGAAGTAGTGGCGCGGCAGGACTGTCGACGCGGCGACGACCCCAGCGCGGGCTTTCTGGGCTTGACGCGGCCGGTGGCCCGGAACCGCCTGGTGTCCAAGGGCATGTGCATTCGGCGAACCACGATCCTTCAGTTTTGAGTTGCGGTGTCCCGAGTGTACTCAAGGCCACACTCCAGAATTCATTCCGAGTGCCCAGAAAAGTATCGGAACAGTTTCTGCATAACATGCTGACGAAGTGTCGAACGAGTATCGGCTCCCAGGGCCCGACACGTGAAAACCTTCAGTTTCGATGTTTTCTTGGTGCTCTGGTGATCAAGGCTAATGTCGGCTGGAGCCTCTCAAGGTTTGATGTCTGAGCGATCCGCGGTCCACGCAGTACCAGAGACCAGCGCGCGAGTCGTCAGGGCGCGGGCCTGCCACAGCCGGCCCAAGAGGTGCGTCCGAGTGCTCCACGAGGGCGCCCACGCGGCCGTCCACGCGGCAGTCCACGCGGCCGTCCACGCGTCCGCCTTCCCAGGGGTCCTTGGGCGTCGCCGCCTCGGTTTGCAGCCGCGCGGCGCGGTTGGCGGTGCTCGGAGCGACGGGGGAGGGAGGAACGGGAGCAGGAGGGGGAGGAGGGCGAGGAGGAAAAGGAAGGGAAGGAGGGGAGGAGGAGGAGGAGGAGGAGGAGGAGGAGGAGGAGGAGGAGGAGGAGGAGGAGGAGGAGGAGGAGGAGGGGGAGTTGTTTCCTCCCTTCCTTGAAGGCCAAAACAGCAGGTTCTTAGAACCTGTCTTGACATCTTCTGGCAATTTTGGTGTGTACGAAGGAGTCCCAGAATACGACCAGACACAGTGTATCTTTGCATTCAACCGGAACGCGAGGTGTTTTCGCACAGTCGGAAACAGAGGTGTCGTTCGTGACAGCGTCGGCCTGCCCCGTGTGGTTGGTTGTGGCAGGTCCTGAAGAGGATAGCCAACCACACGCCGACACGCTGGAAACGGACTGGACCAGGGGTGCCCGAAAGAGTGGGCATACTCAGTCCTAGACCAGAAAGGAGACCAAATGAAATTGCAAAGTCAACTGCTTTTCGGCGACCCTGGCGCGGCAGAGCCGTTGCCAGGCGAGCCTGAGGTGGGTGTCCAAAGAATGCCTTGTATGTTGCATTACTATGGATATGCTTGGCGAATGATTGGTTATCAGCCGAAAGTCTCTCCAGGAACTCGTCTTCGGTGGTGCGGCCTTTTTCCCAACAGTCAGAGAGGTATCAGCGGTGGCTTTACCAAAAGGGGGTTTCGCAGGTGCGCTCTGATTATCCACGAGCGCCTAACGCATGGGTCGGGTGGCTCACACCCCTGGGCCGTGGCTGGTGTCCGCTCAAGGAGAAGGGGGCAAACGCCCGGCTTAGCTGCGGTTTCCGGCGGTGTCACGAAAGAGGGGGCAGTTGTTTCTGCCTTTCTTCGAAGGCCAGAACAGCAGGCTCCCAGAGCCTAGTTTGACATCTTCTGGCAATTTTGGTGTGTACGAAAAAGTCCCAGACTACGACCAGACACAGTGCATCTTTGCATTCTACAGGTACGCGTGGTGTTTTCGCACAGTTGGAAACAGAGGTGTCGTTCGTGACAGTGTCGGCCTGCCCCGTGTGGTTGGTTGTGGCAGGTCCTGAAGAGGATAGCCAACCACACGCCGACACGCTGGAAACGGACTGGACCAGGGGTGCCCGAAAGAGTGGGCATACTCAGTCCTGGACCAGAAAGGAGACCAAAGGAAGTTGCAAAGTCAATTGCGTCTCGGCGACCCTGGCGCGGCAGAGCCGTTGCCAAACGAGCCTGAGGCAGCACTAATACGGATACGCTTGGCAAATGACTGGGTGGGGAAAGGAGGAGGAGGAGGAGGAGGAGGAGGAGGAGGAGGAGGAGGAGGAGGAGGAGGAGGAGGAGGAGGAGGAGGAGGAGGAGGAGGAGGAAAAGGGGAGGAGAGGAGGAGAGGAGGAGAGGAGGAGGAGGAGGAGGAGGAGGAGGAGGAGGAGGAGGAGGGAGGAGGAGGAGGGAGGGAGGAGGAGGAGGAGGAGGAGGAGGAGGAGGAGGAGGAGGAGGAGGAGGAGGAGGAGGAGGAGGAGGAGGAGGAGACTGGTGGTGCGCCGGGTGCGCTTGTGCCTCCGGGGGAGGGGCGGACTTGGGGATACTTGGAGCGGCCGCTTTGGTCTGGTCCGCTTGCCCTGTCGAGGCGCCGCCGGCGCCGCACCCAGCAGCACGCCTGACGCAGCGCGGCCTGCACGTCACCACGTGGGCCGTCGACGTCATGACGTGCCGCCGGAATTGCCATTGCCACGCTGACGCGCGCAAAGGCCCCATTCGACGGGGAGACCTTCGCGCCTTCAGCCACACCCTCGCGCACAAACTCTACTACCACCCGGAGTGCGTGGAGGGCGGATTCAGCCCCTACGACAACGTGGTCGGCACGGAGAGCCTCGCGCAGGCGGCGCAAGACAAGGTGCGAACCTTCTGCGATCGGCCGGGGAGGACCACCCGCGCGCAGTACGTTGGCGACGTGCAACGGGCAAAGAGGATCCGGTATGCAGGCGCGGACCCGGACGGCCACCAGCCGGGCGACGGGGACCCGGATTAGCTGCCCGAGAGCTACGATCCCGCCGGCGGGGCATGCCCCGAGCCAGCGCCAGACCTGCCCAACCTGCCTTGGTGGGATTCAGTCTCTTACGACAGCCTGAGGGACGACGTGCCCACGGTGGTCACTGTGCCGGACGAGGTCTGCCACGCCTTGGCGCTGTTACGGGGCGGGTCGCCCAGACGCTGCTGACGGCGCAGTCCGCCGGGGACGGGGCCACGCAGCGACGCGCCGAGAAACTTTTCACATTATTCGACCGTGTTCTCCTTCACCGAAACCAGAAGCAACGCGGAGGCAAGACCGTGAAAGGCAGAGGGCTTAGCCAGGAGCTCACCCGGAGGCTGCGCCTGGCCGAACGGGGCGACTGGGCCGCCCTCTGGCGAATCGCCGCCTCCTCTGGCGCCCGGCGCGCCGCCCTCCCCGAACGCAAGGCCGCGGCCGAGCAGCAGGCAAAACGGGTGGAAACGCTGGTCCGAGAAAAATTGGTCAGTAAAGCCATGGCCAGCGCCACCCGCCCCGCCGCCGCGGCCACGGGCGACGGCGCCCACGCAGCCCTGCAGCGACTGGTCCCAGAGAGCACCCCGGCAGCGTTGAACGGACAAGCGCCGCAGGCACCAGACCAGGACCCAGGACACGCTGCAAAGGCTCACGGCCTCCGTCTCCAGGCACATCGGACGTGGCCCCCGGCGCTCCGGGCACGGCCCGAATGGCTCCCGATTCGAACGCTTGCGCACTCTGCTCTGCGACGGCGCCGCCCGGGAGGCCCGGGCCAAAGTCGTCGTCTTTTTTTCTGCTCGGGCAACTCAGCGAGGAGGCGATGGCGGCGAACCTCGGGGCGCGCCTCATTGCCCTTCGCAAGCCCAACGGGGGGCTCCGCCCAATCGCTTGCGGGTGCGTCCTCCGGCGGCTTGCTGGCCGCGCAGCGTGCGAAATCTTCGGCGAGGGGATCAAGCGCGGCTGCGGGCGATTCCAGTACGCCGTGGGCGCGCCGGCGGGATGCGAGGTCGTCCACAAGACGCTGGCGGCCCTCACCGAAGCGTTCCCGCAGGGAGTGGTCCTCGCGTTTGACGCCACCAACGCTTTCAATTCTGTCCCGCGGCAACGGATTTTAGACGGCGCGGCACGGCTGGCCCCGGACCTGCTGCCGACGGCGCGGGCGTGGCTTGGCACCACGACTACGCACCTTTTTCTGGGGCAGCGGGGACAAGGCCGCGCCCGTGCGGGCCACCCGCGGGGTTGACCGAGGCTGCCCGCTGTCCCCCGCGCTTTTCGCTTGGCAATCGCCGACGCTTTAGACGAAATCCACGACGCGCTTCAGCTGCTCTCACCTGCCTGCAAAGTCTTCAGCTACCTGGACGACGTGGTGGTGTTCGCCCCGCCGGAACACGCCTCCGCCGCCGTCGCCGTCGCGGCTGACGCCCCGACGCGAAGCGGCCTCTCGGTCGACCAGGGCAAGACGCAAGTTTGGACTAAGGATGCCGACGCGGCTCTCCCGCCTGAGCTGACCCACCACTGGGTGCCCCACTTGAAATGCTTCGGAAACGCCGCCCCGTGGCTCGAGCAGGAGAATGAGGAGCGGGCCCGCCTACACGCTGGCGCCGACGGGGCCGCAGCTGTGGCCAAAGCCAACGCGTTCGCCGACAAGCTGGCCGCGCTCCGCTCCGCGGGCCTATCGGCCGAGGCTGCCTGGACGCTGTTGCGCACCTACGCGCAGGGGGCCGTTGCCCACCACCTTCGGGCCAACCGCGACACGACCTGGGTCGACCCGTTCGACGACGTGATCTTCAGCAGCCTGGAGCACCTTGCCGGCGCGCACCTGGACGCGTCCCAGCGCGCGCAGGCCACCATGCGGCTGAAAGACGGTGGCTGATCCCTGCCGTCCGCCCGCCTCACTGCGGCTGCTGGCCACCCCGCCAGCTGGGCCCTGGTCCTCCACGAGGTCGCCGCAGGGGCTGGGTTTGCCACCTGGGAAGATTTCCGCGCGCGATGCCCTCTGACGCACCAGGCGCTCGTGCAGGCGGACGCGGACCTCCTGGCCCAGGGAGTGAAGGGCGACCACTTCGACTGGCTCGGCGCTTTTCAACACCCCGTCCCCAAGCTACAGGGGATCTGGGGGGAAGCACGTTCTGTGGCCACTCGGGCCCGCCTGCTGACGGCACTGGACGAGGAGGAGCGAGGGGCCCTTCGTGGGGCCGGCGGGCCGGGCGCCGGCGGCTTTCTGCTCCCCGTCGAGGAGGGGGACCCGGCGCTCCCGGACGCGCATTTCTTAGCTGCACTGAAAATGCGCCTCCGCTGCCGTGTCTGCCCCGATGGCACCGCCTGCCAGCGTAGGCGCGCCGACGGCACGGTCTGCGGCGCCACCCTTGACCCCAAGGGGTGGCACGCCAAAAAATGCGAGGTTGGCGGCTCCCGCAATCCGCCATAACAGCATGCGGGACTGGCGCGCCCCCCTGCATACGCGCCTCACCGGCCACCACGCGGTGAAGGGGCAACGCGCCCCAGGGTGGGGCCGCGTGAACAGGCAGACCGGCGAGATCCAGCTCGCGCGCCTCGACGTCGCAACCCGCGACCCTGCCGCTGGGCAGCCCGTCTACGTTGATTGGAGCATTACCTGCGAACACAGCACTTACGCCCCTCGCAGGCAGGCTTGCTCCAACAACGACGGGGTGGCCGCCGCGGCCATGGTCCGGGAGAAGCGCGCCAGGTACCCCCCCGAGCACGGGAACCTGGCCCCCCTGGTCTTCGAGACTGGTGGCCGGCCCTCCGACGAGGCGGCCGAATTTATTCGGACATGCGGACAGGATATGGACTCGGCGGAACGCGGGGCCGCCCTGGGAACCGTGTGGCGACAACTGAGCCAGCGCCTCCAGGCAGGGAGCGCAGAGATGGTGTTGAGCGCCCTCAGTCGGTGAGCGCCCCGTTGCCGC